GGAGCGGAGAAGATCACCGTCAGGATCTTTAAGAGCATCACTCTGGTTCATGAAGCTGGCATGGTGCTGCTGGAGGTCAGACATTTTAAAGATGTCATTTTGTTCCCAGATTTTTGCTGCCTCAGACACCACCTGTCAGTCTGTGTATTTAATGTAACTGAGTTTTTTATGTGTCTTTGTCCTCAGTGGATTGCCAACCCACTCAACGATATGTATGCCGACGCCGTCACCACAGTGATCCTGGAGGTCCAGTCCAACCCAAACGCCCAGAAACGTCAGTAAACAAACAACCTGCTCAGACTCTCTAATGAAGGAACTCTATTATTTTTTTTTTACTTGCACACATGAAACTGAAACATTAAACATAAAATCCAAATAGTAAAAAAGAAAAAATAAGAAATGCTTCAGGAGCTGCAGGCTGATACGAACAGACCTGCCCTCGACTGACGGAGAAAAACAGACAATTACAATTTAAAAAAAAATAGAACTGCAAGCAGTTATGAACGTGGTCCAAGCCTCCCCGCGCAACTCGGCCTCCACGCTCCATGGAGCCCATGAAAGTTGGCCCCAAAGGACGATGGGCTCGGGGCGAGCTTCAGGACACAGGCCAACGTCTGAGCTGCTATATTCATCGTAATCGAAAGTGCACTGGAAGTGCCAAAGTCTGAATGCATTTGTTGCAATAAGTCACGCCCACTTTGACCTATCATTACCAAGCTTTGCGGCTGGCCTCAGGACTGATCCCAAATCGTGCTCACCAAATTTCGTACAAATCCGATCAACTTTAATGAAACCTGATATTTCTGGGTTTATAGCGTCAACTAGTGGCCAATTTGAGCCAAATTTGGCATCGAGCCTTTGAACAATGTCTGAAACACGTGTCTTATGTTTCATGTTGATATCACTTAGTCTGACAAAAATATGCAACAATATGTGTATTTTAGCTAGGAAAAAGATTTTGTCGTTAATAATTCGCACATTTTTTGACTGGACAAAATTCTTTTGCTAACTTTAGATAAGGTCCATCTCGAGAGTCTACATGCCAAGTTTCATGCGGTTTTGACAAAATCTGTAGGAGGACTTCGAAAGAGTAGGTTTTAGAAGTGTAACAACTTAGCGAAGAAAATGTGCAGTGGAAGTGGGCGGGGCCTGTGTCAGAACTTCCATGTTAATGGCCGATGTTTACCAAATTCGGTTCACACCCTCACAGTCTCATACTAACTAAGGATCTCAGCTCTGGTTTTGATAGCTTTTAATTTGACAAAGATACGGAAAAGTTTGCATTTTTATAGCTAGCTACAAAATGTGTTCGTTAATAATTTGCACATTTTTTGACCGGGCAAAATTCTTTTGATAACTTTAGATCAGGTCCATCTTGTGAGTGTAGGTGCCAAGTTTCATAAAGTCTGAACAAAATCTCCAGGAGCAGTTCGAAAAAGTAGGTTTTGCAGTTTTTGCAGTTTTTTGCAATTTTTGACGGGAAAAAGTTAGGCAGAAGTGGGCGGGGCCATGGACACGCGATGCAGTTCAATTCAGGGAATCCATGGATACAAGGCTTTTGAATCTGCGACATACGGTGTAGGAGTTATATACAAAAGCGCTTTGGCCTTGATTGTAGCACCCCCTGCAGGTGCACATGTGTAATTGTTTGCGTCTGAGGTCCCTGAAGGGGTCTAGACCAACCCTCCAAATTGCACCACCCTCCCCTGCATGGTGTAGCCTGTAACCGCTGGTCTGCTTGCATATGCGTTCCCCAGGCCCCGCGGGCTTGGACTCCTAAAAAGGAGAAAAGAACTAAAGTAAGATTATACAGAAAAACACAAGAAAAGATAAATAACAGCAGGAAGCAGACGGAGCAGTCTGTGAAAAATACTCCAATAAAAACCAAGAAATACAGAATTACACAGTTTGGAGAAAAAAAAAACTGGGGAAATACATATTTATATATAAGTTAAATAATAATTAGAATGTAAAAATAATTAAATATAATGATAATTTCCCTTTAAGGAGCTGATCGACCCGTCTGTTGTTATAAAAATTAATTTGTGAATTAAATGTAAAGAACTTGCTGAACGATGACACAGAGACGAAGGTGATAACATATATTTATATGTAAACACACAGATCTCATTAACGTTGAATGTTTTGATTTGTTTCAGTTCTGGACTCGAAGAGAGAAGCGTTCGACATGGACGTGTTTGTGGAGAGACTCGGGCTCATGCTGCAGTAAGTTCACCTCACCCAGCTGGTGGACGTTTGTTTTACTCTGCCTGCAGTGCCAGGCGGGTGGAGTCTGACTGTAACAGCACGACAACCAAACAATTAAAGTCGGTTTAATCTCTTTATTTAAAGTCTGTTACCTCTCTGAAGCTCCACCCGTCTGGCACTCCACCCGTCATAATACAAACGCACCCTCTGTGAGAGCGATTTAGTACGACAGGAAACTATTGATTGATCGATAAATAATGTCTGACTTTACTTTAACACATCATGATGTCAGAGGTCTATGACTCTCAGTGATACAGGTCTGGATGTTTTTATTTGTTTTTTATTTATTACATTTAAATTTAGTTTTAAAAATGTTTGTCATGAAAGCTGAAGTTTGTTTTCACAGCTTGTTGAGAAATGTTTACTGTCGAAGCTGAGGAAGGAAGTGTGTTTAGAGATGCAGTGATTTTCAGAATAAGAGCTCATCACAGGTTACAGTTACAGTTTTAGACGCGTCCCAACTGTTGATGTTTGTGTTGCAGCGACATGTTCGGAGACGACTGCGTCAACTTCACAGACGGTAAAAACCTGAGTGTGACTGTGGACGGAGTCACAGCGTCCATCGACCCCGAAACCAGAGTGAGTACCTGAACACAGTGAGAGGTCCCATCTGACTTCCTGTCTGTCTGTCTGTCTGTCTGTCTGTCAGCTCAGAGATCTTTAAGAACACAGATCAGTAGTTTCATCAGACAATCAGAAACAGTGACGTGAGTGGGACGTTGTCATTTAAATGATCCAGTTGGAGCATTTATTCTCTCAGAAGTAGAAAGCTCAGGTTTCTGTGTCATCACATCGTGATGTTGTTACCTAACGTGTTGGACAAACTACGTATTTTGTTGTAATTATGTCGGTATTTCCCCTCAAGGCCCAGATGGTTGTTGTTTACATTACCCTTCATTTATCGATCCAAAATAAAACCATATGTTAGCTGTTAGCAACTCACTTTAACAGCTAACATTAACCAGCTGCTAACAGCTAACAACTAAGTTTAACTAGCTGCCAACAGCTAACATGAATTAGCTGCTTAAAGCTAACTGTAACTAGTTACCAACAGCTAAGGTAAACTAGCTGCTAACAACTAACAGCTAACAACTAAGTTTAACTAGCTGCCAACAGCTAACATTCACTAGCTGCTTACAGCTAACGTTAACCAGCTGCTGACAGCTAATGTAAACTAGCTGCTAACAGTTAACAGCTAAATATAACTAGCTGCCAACAGCTAACGTAAACTAGCTGCTAACAACTAACAGCTAACATCTAAGTTTAGCGAGCTGCCAACAGCTAACATTAACTAGCTGCTAACATCTAACGTTATTAACCAGCTGCTAACAGTTTACATTAACTAGCTGCTAACAGCTAATGTTAACTAGCTCTCCTCCTGCTGATGTCATCACAGATTTGTTGTCCACAGTGTGACATCATCAGGTAAACAATGGGCTGCGTCCTCTGACGTGTCCACAGTGGTTGGGGACTATTTTCAAAGGCGGATTAATCCACATTAATCTTGTTAGTATCTGTGTCAGCAGGACAGTGTGTGTGGCTCACTGATGTGTTTCTAACCACAGAAGAAGAAGATTCATTAGACTGTACACACACACACACACACACACACACACGGCATCTGTCAGGACACAGGTGATGTAGTAAATGACGTAATGCCCTTAACCTTTTGACATCTGACCTCTGTCTCCAGACGGTGACGTGTACTGAGGATGAGACTCTGAGGGAGATGGTGGAGGTCGCCGTCCACCGTCTCCACGATGCCCTCAGCCCCGCCTTCTGAGTGTGATGTCACCAGCAGGGGGGCGGCAGCCAGCTGTCCACAGGAAGCTGATGACGGACTTATGTTTTTGATGTTTTTCTTCTTTTAATGAAGACGATCTTTTAGTATGAAATCTGATTCCAAAGGAATCTCCTCCTCCTGCAGCTGACGGACCAATCACCTTTTTCTACTCCGTGTATCTGATAAACATCACAACAAAATAAACAAATGTTTGTCCACTCTGGTGTTTATCAGCTGATTCTTTGAACAACAGTTTTATTATCAGTGTATGAACGTTTCCTTCCGCTGTGATGTTTGACAACAAATCTAGATTTTAGATTTTAGATCATCATTATCAATCAATCAGTTAATTGATTAATGATTTCAGCTCTACAGTTTAAAACATTAAAGTTTATTCTTCATCTTTGAAAACAAATAGAAAGACAAAATTATCTTTTTATTCTGGAGCTTTAAACAGAATTTTAATAAATCAAGGATAATAAAATATAATAACACAAAAATCTGAGGTCATAACTGCTGCTAAGCAGCCTGTTAACGGATGTTGTCTCCATGACGACTGACTGATCTCCACTGATGAAAACCATGTGATGATTAAAAGCTCTGGAACAAAGCAAAGGCAATTTATTTATTAGATGAAATAATTCATAATGACATGAATGTACCAAAAATAATAATAAAAATTTCTGTAGACAATACTTAAGAAATATAAATTAATATTTCTGTTTTGCTTCTTTATTTTTTTTTTCATTTGTACTAACATTTATATTCATTTACTTTTGTGTGTATTGTTATTTTATTAATATGTAAATGTGTTTATTGTTATTTTTGGTATATTTAATAGCATTTTAATTTTAAAAAAAATTTCTGTATTTATTTCTTTTCGATTTTGGCATCTTCTGTCTTCCGTACTCTGTGAGGCTGATTAAACATATCACAGAACATTCTTACGAATTATTGAACAATAAATTTATTTCTCAGAAAACTTTTCTCACATAAAACAAACATTTTATTTTGAAACAGCAGTCAGACTGACGGGTAAACACAGCCACACAAACAAACAAACGTGTTTGTCTTTAAATGTATTAATACTCAGTGAACGTAACAAAGACGTGTTTACAGAATATGGCACGCGATCGTCTGCATGTAAACAACACAAACAGTAAACAACACACTAAACACACATCTCTAATGTATAAAAATACTGACTGAAGTGCATTTTTCAATACCACTGAAGAAGAGAAGGCACACAGCTCTGATTGTCATTTATAAAATAAAAACAACAGTTTGACTTTCAGACGTCAAAATAAAACACTTAATAAAAGCGTATTAACAGCCGAGAGTTTGCTCTGTGAAAGATGTTGGTTTCAAAATGCTGTAAATAATGTAACGTTGGGTTTAAAACATCTGATGTGTCGGATTTAAGTGCAGAGATAAAAAATAAAAGTATCTCGTGGACAGTGATGAAATGTAAATAAATACATTTACTTAAGTAGAATTTTGAGGTACTTTTACTTCTCCAACGGACTGTCTCCAGCAGCACGAATTTAAAACCACAGCTGTTGATTTTCAGATAAACTGTCTAAAACGCAGAAATTTAATGTAACTGTAATAAATGTTCATTAAAAAGCAGCTGAAGGCGTCAAATCTTTGGCATTTCACTTAAAAAAACAACAGCAGAAGTCTGTTAAATTGCAGCTCTGTTGGTCTTTGAATGTTTTAAAGCTTTTTGTTTTTGTTTTTGGAAAAAAAAAAACCCTGAAGGTTCAACATTTATTTTATCAGGTGACTCATTCAGAATCAGACTCCATGAAAGCAGACGATGAAGGGGGCGGGTTCTGAAACTAACGTGAGTGTGGGAACTAAAATTAGTACGAGGCATCTGGGAACTAAAGTGAGTGTGGGATGTGGGAACTCAAATTAGTACGGGGTATCTGGGAACTAAAGTGAGTGTGGGGCATCGGGAAACTAAAGTGAGTGTGGGGCGTCGGGGAACTAAAATTAGCCCCAGGGGATTGGAAACTTGTGTGAAAGTGTTTGACATGTGGGAATATAAGAGTGTGGGGCATCTGGGAACTAGAATTAGTGCGGGGTGTCTAGGAACTAAAATGAGTGTGGGGCATTCAAGAACTAAAATTAGTGCGTGGCATTTGGGAACTTAAGTGAGCGGGATGTGGGAACTAAACTAAGTGTGGGTCATTTGGGAACTAAAATTACCTGGTATGGGGCACTCAGGAGCTTAAATGGGGCGTTGGGGAATAAAATGTATGAATGTGGAATAAAGACAGGTGACTAATGATGTCACTGTCAGGTGATGATGTCACAGTATGACATCAGATCAGGTAGAAAACCTGTTTTCACTTTGTTTCGTCACCTGATGACGTTCAGCTGCAGATCACAGAGTCTGTAAGAACCAAAAATCAAACAAACTGTAACAGCTTCAGAGGAACAGCGTGGACACAGACTTTAAACCCACGGTGAGGACGGACCCTGAAGTGGACGCAGTTCAGCGGGCTGTGGGACAGAGCAGGTTAAAAAAGTCACACGAGGACCTGACAACGAAAACACTAAGCGGTGACTCCGCCTGCTGCGTGTCCTGGTCTCTGCAGGTGAGGACAGGCGAGTCCTCTCAGCACTGCGTCTCTTTGGTGTCAATCCGATGTTGTCTCTTCAGTCTTAACATCAGAGCCTTGTCGCTGCGACTCGTCACACTTGTCTCCGTCAGGTCCTCGAAGGAGCGCTGAGTCGACCCCACTGGCCGCCCGAACGCCTCCTCAAGTGCGTCCTCGTCCAGGTGCGAGTCCAAGCTGGGGTCCTCCTGGATGGTGGCCATGCGGGGGCTGTCCAGAGGAAGGTGGCTGAGGGCAGGGTCGGGGGCGGAACCAGGGACAGGAGGGGTGCTGGTCTGTTGGGGGCTGGACGACTGGAAGCGCAGCCCGGCAGAGGAGGTGCTGGTGGGGAAGGTTGGAGGTTTGAAGATCCGGACAGATGCGGACTCCAGGCTGCTGAGGAGCTCGGCATTCTGGGAAAATCAACAGTAACAATTAGTATGGACCAAAATTAAAGGAGCAAGATGCTATTTTTAACGTTTAACTTTATTAACAAATAATTTCTCAAACAGACGCTCAGTTTGACGGTTGATGACTCGTCAGTCAGGAATTACTCACACTGGGGAAGAACAGAGACTTGGTCGTCTGTTCGTACTGTTGGTCCAGTTTCTTGTCCTGAAAGTAAAAAGAGACGACTCAGAAAATATCAAAGTAATGTGCTGATCAGACCGCCATCTTTAAAGCCGGCTCCATGAAGCTCCATCATACATACAGATCTGATCCGGATCGAGCGGGTCGATCACAGAGACTAACCACACAGTGAACCAGGATGCTGAAAGGGACCCAGAACAGCAGCGAGAACGCCACCACCGACCCCACGATGTTATCAGCCAGGAACTTCCCGAACGTGTTGATGTCCAGTTTATCGATGAAGTCCCACAGACGCTCCACCACGTCCTGAACCTGCTTCATACACTTCCCCTGCAGAGACAGTGTCCACACCAACACGTCATGTGACGCACACGTCAGGTGATGCTCTGTGTGTCAGACAGCGGGAGAGACAGAGAAGAAACTCACCGCTCCGTCACAGAATCCCACGGTGCAGGGTTTGCCTTTACGTAGGAACAGGAAGTTGCCTGTTGCGTCCTGGTAGGGAGCGCAGACGCCGCTGCTGCTGCGACAGCAGACTTTACAGGACGAGTTGGTTTCTATGCAGAAGAAGAAACAGAGACGTTAAACACGTCACACCTGAGTCCACCAGACGACGTTCACACGACACATGAATCTGACAACAGTATAAAATATTATATGTAATCTAGAGACGTAGGGAACTACAAAGAGCATGGGTCACTTGGGAACTACAATGAGTGTAGTGCCTGAATGAACTAAAATGAGCGCAGGGCATTTGGGAAGTGAAAAAAGCACTGGGAGTTTGGGAACTAAAATAAGTATACAGCATTTGAGAACTAAAAGAGTGTTGGGCCGAATGAACTCAAACGAGCATGGGGACTTTAGGAACTAAAATGAGCATGGATTGTTTGGGAACTACAGTGAGTGCAGGGCCTGAATGAATTAAAATGAGCTTGGGGACTTTGGGAACTAAAATGAACAAGGGAGCTCTGGGATCTTAAATGAATGTGGAGCCTGAAGGAACTCAAATGAGAGCAGTCACTTGGGGAACTAAAATGAGCACGGGGAGTTTGGGGACTGAAATGAGCATGGATTGTGTGGGAACTAAAAATAGTGCAGAGCATCTGGGAACTAAAATGAGCACAGGCACTTAGGCAACTAAAATGAGCATGGGGAGTTTGGGGACCAAAATGACTGCAGAGCCTAAGTGAACTAAAATGAGCGCTGGGACTTTGGGAACTAAAAAGAGCATGGGGCATTTGGGAACTAAAATGAGTGCAGGGACTTTGGGAACTAAAATAAGCATGGGAACTCTTGGAACTAAAATGAGCACAGATTGTTTAGGAACTATAAGAGTGCAGGGCGTCTGGGAACTAAAATGAGCGTGGGGCATTTAGGAATTAAAATAAGCACAGGATATTTGAGAACTAAAATGAGTGCATGGCATTCAGGAACCAACATAATACAACTGTATTATACTTTGCAGTAGTGATGTTTGAGTGTATGACCTGTAGTGTAGACTTGTAGTTTAGTATTGTCACAGAGCAGTAATTGTACTGTTACTGCAGTGAAGCGTCAGTATCGTACCATTGCAGGCGCAGGGCTGCAGCTTTAAGACGGCCTGACAGAAGGGAACACACTCTCCGTTAAGACACTCTCCACTGTCCAGACAGATGGTTTTATCTGAGGCGTTTTCTGGCGGAGGACACTCGCTGCTTTTTCCTGTCAAACACAAAGTCTTCAGTCACTGCGAGTCTCTAAACAACACACAGTCATGTGTGACCTTTGACCTGTGGGCTGACCTGTACAGTACGAGTGTCCTTTACAGGTGGCGTTGATGGGCTCCTGACAGACTTCACCTTCAGACTCAAACCTGCAGTTTTTACAGCACGCACTGTTCCTGTCACTGAACACAGAGAGAGAGAGGACCAAGTCTGAGTCGTCATTTAAAGGAAACAAGAAACCCGCAGGTGAACTTTGACCTCTTCACCGAGTGTTTTCCATCATGATGTGAAGAACCTGGATCTGATCTGAACCTGGTTCCTGACCTGAAGGTCTCGACCCCACGATGGAGACGGATTTCATGAAATAATTCTGCTTCACAAAGTGTTTTATGTTTTTTGGACTCAAAAGCAGCGGCTGACATTCCTCTGACCTGCACTGAGCTCCAGCTTTCAGCCTGCACTCGGCGGTGCAGCAGCGATCTGAGTTGATGTGCAGCAGTCCCGGGTCACACTCCTCCCCCTGCTCCACCCGAGAGTTACCGCACACGTTAATGTTCCTCTGCTTGAAGCAGGTTGGCGCCTTCGCTCTCAGACGCTTCACTATGGAGCGTTTACTGCAGTTGGAGAACATCTGGACACAGGACAGACTTTGTTAAACACACCTCCACCTGTGAATAAACCTCAGTAGTATGAGTCGGCACCTTGTTGTTGACGTGGTCTCCGCTAACGGCGATGGGGTACATGACGTACTTCCCTCCCTGGTCCTCTCGGGGGGCGCAGTCCCGGATGTTGTCTGGGTCGTGTTCTGCTCCAAAGTTATGACCGAGCTCGTGAGTCGTCACCAGGTCTGCTTCCTGTGGAGACAACAAACTGTTCAGAGAAATGTCGCTGCGTCCTCGAAAGTTCAGATGTTTGCGGCTGTAAAAAAAAAATACAAACTCTTACATGAACATGTTTCTGAGATCGACAAGACAAACTTAAAATCAGCTGCTTTTAACAAATGCTACCACAAAATGATGATGATGGTTCTAATAGATGTATTTATACATGTCGTACCTGACGTGTCAAACACGCAGCCGCCTTATTATTTATTATTAATGACTTCAGTTCAGCTGCAGGACGTTTGAGCTCTTTTCTTTGCAGGTGGTTTTATGTTTAACAGGAGTTCATCCCAAAAATAACACGAGGAGCTGATGTTGCTTCATGTTCAGGTGACGTAATGAAATCTGATCCAGAGTTATGGTTAGTCCAGTCTGAAGGTTTAACATACACTGAAACACTGCACAGAGTAATACTCTGGAGGATCATCACAGTGGCAGTTACTCTATCTCTTAGCGCGATGATCGTGAGGTGAACAGTAGAAATACTGCGCTTATGATACAAAGTAATCCACCAGGAATGTGAGCTTGCAGATTTGTGATCAGCCGGTGCAGCTTCTTGCTGGATTACGTTGCTTTGCAGGAATGTTGAGCCAGACTAAACTTCTCTGCAGAAGACACTGTGTTGTTTTATTGTAGAAAATTAAAATCTGGCTCAAACAAAATGCTCCTGGTGCAAAAAGCAGCTGCTGTGACATTGTTCCACTCATGGTTATAGCGCTCTGTTACTTCCTGTGACATTCTCATTGTTGCAGTAACCAACCTGTTCTCATTCCAAAGTCGTCAAATAAAATGGCTTGGTCAGTGATGTCGGCATTAGACAATGAAAATATACATCCTTTCGTGGCTTTATAATACGCTGCTGTGTAACAACGTAATTTAAGGAGTTGGAAATCCCTATAAGAAGAGCTGGAGGGATGATGGATGGGGGTCACAGAGAACAGAACAGAGTTCACTTCCTGTGTGAGTCAAACCATGATGCTTTTTTCTGAACCTAACCACGTGTTTTTGTCGCACACAGAACCCAAAATAAATACGAGGTGTTTTACCAACGTTACAAATTCATTTTGAAAAAGACTGTCTGCGTCTAACGCGCAGAAACTGGACATTTCATGTGAAAACTTGGCATATAAAATAATTTCGACTAGAAATAACAGTATAAATACCGAACACAAACACATTATTTGGTGGTTTAACACTGTTTTTCTATTGTTGCCAGGCAGCCGAGGTTTCCCGTAACGTTCTTCCACTAACACTTGTTTTATTTTATTAACTTATTAAGCTTTTAGTGTCCGAACCTTCACTGAATGTGGACAGTGTCTTGGACGAGTGGACAGAACAGAGACAATAAGAACAGTAAGGAAATCATTTCAGTACGACCAGCTGTCAGAGAACCAGCCCACCTTAGTCAGGATGGTCTTCCCGTAGTTCTTGGTGCTGGTCAGACCTGTGTTGAGGTAGATCGCTCTTTGTTCATTTGCAGATGGAGGACAGGCTTCAGAACAGAAACACACAGAATGAAACTTTCACATTATTTCTGGTGTTTGAAGACAAACGACGGTTTGAGGACATTAACGAGACAGCAGGACTTCACCTTTGGAGCAGAGACCTCCCGGGATGTCCGGTTTGGACGGGGCGACATAGGCCAGACCCAGAGTGCCTTCGTCAAAGTCCTGATAGGTGAAGAGGTGAGCCAGGCAGACGTTGGAGGCTTTCTCTGCGATATCAACACTGAACTGCTGCAGAGACACAAACCAGGAAGAGGAGACATCAAATATACAGAAAGTTATATATCTACCATCCAAAGTCACTACTGCCTCCCGTTTGTCTGATTAAAAACTACAGTGAGCAACTGTTTAACTGAGTCTGTTTAAATAATCAAACTTTATTTGTGAGGTGTTGAGATTCAAGTTCAAACTACAAGCCTGTGTCTGCGAATCTTTGTGCGTACTTTCTAATAATTCATTTTGTGAGTAAATGTGCTTGAATATAACTATTTTTTAATTTAAACTCTGTACATGGATGCACCGCTGTCAGGCTAATGTTACTAGCTAATGTTAGCTAACTTTAGCTACACTTTTCTACCTACTAGGTCAACTGTTCCCAGAGGTCTGGTGAAACTCTGTCAGGCTAACGTTACTAGTTAATGTTAGCTAAATTTAGCTTCTTTTTCTACCTACTAAGTCAATTAATTCAAGAGGTCTGGAAACACACTGTCAGGCTAGCGTTACTAGCTTACATTAGCTAACTTTAGCTACATTTTTCTATCTTGTATGTCAACCGTTCCCAGAGGTCTGGTGAAACTCTGTCAGGCAACGTTCAGCTAATGTTAGCTAACTTTAGACACCGTTTTCTCCCAACCACTTCCAGAGATCTGTAAAATGGTGTCATACTAACATTACTACCGAATGTTAGCTAACTTTAGCTACTTTTTTTCTACCTACTAAGCCAACCAAAAACACAGAGAAGTTGTCACATAACTGCATCAAACTCGAGGTGTAATGTTAAAGTTTGACGTTAGTTGACTTAGTTCCTCCAAACTGTATTTTTTGTTTTGTCCCTGTTTGATCGATTGAACAGCCGTAAACACAAATCAGAGGCATTTGTTCTGTATTGTTAGTCTTTGCCTCCAGTTTCCTGCTCTCCATCTGAACAGATCACTGATGTTTGACGTTGTATGCAAAGTGATATTGACGCAATATATGAGCGTTTCCTCTGGGAAATCTGTAGACTTCACCTTTTATCCGTTACTTGCTTCATCTTGTTAATTCTATAAGTTATAATTTAATAAACCGCTCTTAAGGTGTGTCCGTCCGTCAGGTGTTACCTCCAGCAGCTTCTTGACGTCCCAGACGTCTCGATCCTCCGCTGGACTTCCCTTCATGTTGTAGTGACTTTTCCCTGGCTCCACTTCAGTGGGAACCTTCTCTATGATGATCTGACAGGAAACACACCGTTAACTTTTTGTGTCCCACCAGGCCAAAACAATGTTTTTAATAGAAGTGTTCTCACCTGCTGGATCTGAACTCCATAACCTGTGAACTCTTCGTCCCACGACGTGTTCCTGTAGATGTCATCCACTCGATCAATCAGTTCGATCTGAAAGCACAGTGGGTTGGTGAACGTCTCTGTGTGGAGGTGATGGAGGTTAAATGAATGGACTGTGGACTGACCAGGTAGTTGAGGGTGGTGCTCTCCTCCTTGCGGCCCATGTGTTCGAAGAAGCGATGGTCGGCCACCAGCAGCAGAGGACAGGTGTTCTTCCTGTGGTCGTGGATCTGACGCTTCCCTCTGATCACAGACTCTGAACAGGTAAAGACATGAACACAGTCAGTGCTGCAGTCACGACACGAGATTCATTACGAAATCAAATCATATTGACATGATTTGTTTTGTTTCACTGACTAATGATGCTCTGTTAACTAACGGAGCGCCGTTATAATAAATGACGATGTCTGTTAGCACACGGTCGTTACTGATGTACACTGAGAGCTCTTACAAACAATACGAACTTTTAACTTCTGTTAATATAAACTCAACACTTCCTGCTGCTGTTTCACAGTAAAAGATTTTAAAGTATAGGAAGCTTGTTTTTCAAACTAAAAGCACCTATTTTAACATGAAAAGCTTTTTTTCATTTAAAGCTTTTTTCACATTAAAGAAAATCTTTTTTACATTATAAGCTCTTTTTTCAGAATAAAAGCTCTTTCATCAAGTGAAAAGCTTTTTTTTTTTTTTTTTTACCTCATTTGATGTTTTTATTAACATAAAAAGCTTTTTCCACATTGGAATCTTTTTTTGTGTAAAACTCTTTTCTCCACAAGAGAATTTTCAAAGCATTTTTTTTCACATTGGAGCTTTGTTTTTTTATAGATCTACAGACCCTCTTCTTCCTCTCCATCCTCCAACATGGCTGCTTTAACGCCGTCAGGGAGGAGTTGGGCGGGGTCAGAGGTCATGTAGCCGCAGACTGAAGGCTGGTGCAGGCGGCTGAGGTTCCTGATGTCCTCTGAGCGATAGATCAGTAGACGACCATCAGGCGGCGCCGACGTGAACCTCCACAGAGGCTGAACACAGAAGAAGAATCACATCAGGTACGTGTCTGTGGAGGGTTTGGTCTGTCGATAATTTCATTTTTCAATCTTTTATTTTCAGTTTATTATTTGTCTGTTAATGTCCATTATAATTCCCCACAGTCTCAGTGCAGCCTCAGAACTTTAAAGGTTTTTTTTATAGGTTTTACATTAACAGCGTCCCATAGATGAATCTGCCATGTCTTAATTTTAATAACAATAAATAAATAAATGTGTCTGTAGATATTCAGCCCATTTCGCCTGATGGAGACTTGACACACTAATTTAAATGAAATGTTGTTCCTTTCTCTCACCTCGATGTTGTACTCGGCCTCGTCAGTCAGGATGTGAGCAGAGAATTCGTGGTCGTCAATATGAGCCTGGACTCGAGAGTTTTCCTCCCCTGCAGCACAAAACAAAAACAGGGTTGAAGTATTTTTACTGACTCGTCCTCGTAGGTCTCCGGCAGCTCGTTGTTACCGATGACGTGTCCGGTGAAGTAGTTGTGTCTGTTGACAGTGTAGCTCCGCTCTTGTCCGTCCTCATCTACGATCACGGCTCTGAAGTCCTCGGTGAACAGCTGGTCGTTGGTCCTCAGGTAGAGTTTGAACTGCCTGCACACACACACACACACACACACACACACACACACACTGCTGTCGTCAGGAGTCTCTCCGAGTCATTAAAGTGTGTGAGGTGTGACCTCTGACCTCTGCAGGGCATCAAAGCTGACCAGTTTCTCCACATGAGTCTGAGTTTGGACGTCACGGCGACGGACGGAATGAGTCTGCAGGCTGGAGAGAGGCAACACGTCGAAGTCATCCAGCATCGACCTGAGAGACGCTGCTGAGGGAACACAGAGTCCATCATGTGTTGGATCAGCCAATCACAGGTTCACAAACATCTGCTCTTCTTTCACATTAAGAGCTCTTTATTTTCAAAGTAAAAGCTCTTTATTTTCGAATTAAATGTTCTTTCACATTTAAAACTTTTTCTAATTAAAAACTCTTTATTAAATAATATAATTGTTCGTCCAAATTTTTTAAATAACAAACCCATGAATTAGACTATAATAATTTAGACTCAAGCTTTCTGACTTAGTATTTCATCATTTTGATTTTAAAATTCATAATTTTGAGTCAATATTTTTTACTTTGAGTATCATTTTTTATGATTATTTACTGTCTCAGAGTTCTGACTGTGTCTCATACTGATTTATCTCAAAACTATGACTTAGAAAGTCAAAATTTAGGTTTAATATCTCTTAGTTTTGAGATAAAGAAATGAGATATTAAGCTAAAGAGATTGTAAGGAACGAAGATATGAGACAGGAAGTCAAAACTGTGACTCACTATGACTGTCTCATAGTTTTGTCTTAGAATCTTCAATATCAGAACAACTGTCTCAAACCATCTCATTTTATCTCAAACAATTTGGACTTCCTGTCTCTTATTTTTGATTTAATTTCTCATAATAATATTTCATTAGGTGGAGACTTCAAATAAGCCCTCTGGGTTTTTTGCCTCTCCCTACACTGTATTTCATTATTCATTGTTCTTGCAATTTTTTGTGTTTTAATTGTGCAAAAAAACCCAAAACAAACTATACTATATGAATGAATGACTTTATTTCAAACCAAAGTTTAAAACAATGTTGTGGTAACAAAAAAGACAAAACAAACAAAACAAAAACAGAAATGTTTCAAAAAAGAGTAGATAGAAGTAAAACTTAGATGTTCCTACCCCGTTTCACTTTTCCTGTATTAACTTAAATTCCTTGCACAATTTTGAGAAAGACTGTAAATACTAAGTTATAAGATGTTAAACCAAAAGTACTATTTACTTTCCCCAAATTTTAACTTCATATCTTATAATTTGAGACAGTATATCGAATCATTTTGATTTACTATCAATACTTTTCAAAAATCTGACTTAGTTTCTCATCATTTTAACTGATCTCATGAAATTTAGACCGATGTCTCAGTTTGATTTAATATCTTTAAATTTCAACACTGTGTTTGTGTCACTGAGTGTTGTTCTCTTTGAATTTGATTCACTTTGTGTTCCTCTGCGTCTCAGCATCATTTCAAATAAGGGAAACTACAACTGAGGTTTAAATAAAGGTTGTAAATGAATGAATATTTGATATGATACAGTAAGTAATGAGTAACATAAACTGCAATTACCTACTAACATTTAAATCATTAAACCAAAAGTGGGACTGATCAGCTGTTTTCAACATCATGACTCTGACAGTCAACATGATTTATAATTTTGATTTTAAATCCTGTTAATGAGAGGTTATGACTTACAGTCACTTTAACTTTTTGTCTCATAGTTACAAGTTGTAAAATTAAACCTCTGACTCACTGTCTCCTTATTCTGACTTTAAGTTTCAAATATCTGACATATTTTCATTTAATTTTCACTTAAATCATAAAATCTGGACTCATTATCCTGACAGTTTTATACATTATCTCAGTTTTAACATATTATGGGATGTAAGGTAGTGAGTAACAACGCCTGATTGTAATAAGTAACTAAGATAATACTATTGACTTCTTCTTTTTCATTATTATGACTTGAAAATCAAAATTCTGACCTACTACCTCCTAATTTTGACTTTAAATTTCAAATATCTGACAAATTATCTCTGACCAACAGTGTTTTATTTAACTTTTCATTATATTTTTGTTTTGTTTTTTTGTTTTGTTTTTTTGGCAAATTTGAGCTTCCATACATTCTGTATTTACTTTTAACTGTTAAGTGAAGTCAGGCATTTTGCTTCAGTGAACATTAAAACATTAATGTTAAATATTAAACCTAAATCAGGATTGACCAGCTGTTCACAAGATTATAGTCTCGCTCACCAGACCTTTCTCAAGAAAAGAAAGGTCTGGTTGGGCCAACTCTCACTGTGAGATTGGAGAAAAAAACGCCCCAGCTGCTTGTACTTCTTTCAACCAATCACAATCGTTCTGGGCAGTGCCACAGCAACGGTGCGCTTGCAAAAATATTGCCGGGGGGAAACAGGTTTTGGTGTAACACGCCCACAAAAATATCACCTACAGGACGCGAACCATGGCAGAAAAATGGCTACATCCCCACAAGATCAAACACCACAAAAGTTAGTAAAGGACGTGTTAAAAACGGTTGAAAACTGCTACACAACCAGAGGTGGTAGGGCGGGACTTCAGCGGGTGGCTCGTTCCGCCCAATGAGAGGCTGATCTCTGCAGCAAACTTCCGCCCACTCAGACTAACAAGATTATGACTTTGAAAGACAACATGATTTATAATTTCATTATTTTGACTCCAAAAGTCATAATTTAAATTATAAATCCTGTAAATGAGATGATGACTTATGATCACATTAAAACTGTTTGTCTTATAGAGTTATTAAATCAAAACTCTGATTCACTGTCTCCTAATTTGTGCTTTAAACCTCAAATATTTTATATATTATCTCATAATTTACAATAATCTCATAAAATTTGGATTAATTACGTCCTCAGTTTGATTTACTGTCTCAGTTTTAACATATTATGGGATATCATATGACACAGTAATTACAGAGTAAGTACCAAAGCTAGGTTGTAATAAATAACTGGGACTTATTATTTCATAATTATGACTTGGGAAATCAAAATTCTGTCCTCTTGTCTCCTGATTCTGACTTTAATACTCAAACATTAGACATATGACCAGTATGTAATATATAGCATACTTTATTGAACTTTCCATGAGATGTTATTTTTCTGTCAGACTTGAGCTTCCATACATTCTGTATTAACTTTGACTGTAAAGTAATTCATGCTTTTTGCTTTAACGTTAAAATAGACTTTTAAATAAACTTCATACAGATATTAAAACACTCACCGTGATGTTCCTCCGTTGTGTCTGCAGCTGGAGAAACAGCTGCCTCCGTTAAAACGGTGAAAACGGTGAAAACTAAGAGTTGTTGTTTCATGTTTGATGAAACTGATGTGAAATGAAATCAGGTCGTCGCTGCTTGTTTCAGTTTAAAAGTCTCGACGCATCAGATTTAAAAACTTTATCGACACTTTACATAAAAAGTTTCAGACTAAAAACACATTTGTGGAAACAGCTGAGTGAGTTTAGTTCAGCTCAAGTTTTTATGGTTTAAACACGAGAAAAAAAAAACGTCTTCAGTCCGAAAGAACCAGGAAGAGCTGCAGAGTCAAGCTGGCTGACAGCGGCGGAAGTACGTCACTCCGCCTTCACAATAAAAGACCAACGCTTAAAATCAGTAAAGATTTGATATAAAAAATAAATCCAAAGAAATTTAATAAAGTCACTAATACTTTAAGAGGACAAGTCTTACCCGGGGGGGGGGATGGGGGGGGGGTAAGAAAAAAAAACTTTATTAACCCAGGCCATGCAAAAAATAAATTAAATATTAATAAAGAACATTTTAATAGTGTAGATAAATGAATAAATACAATGTAATAAATCCTAGAAAAATAGATTAAAACAAATTATAAAAGAAATAAAATAGTATTCATAAAAATATGACGCAAAATAAATACTAAATAAAATAGATAATAAGAATATTTAATGAATAAACATAAACTGAAATTAGAATTAAAATAGAAATAAAAACAATTTCATAATATTAATAAAAACACAAAGTTCTGCCCCCATGTCTTCCCAACCACAGAATTAACTTAAAAATAATTTAATCAATAAATTAAATTAAAGAGACCAGACTGATCCATCCAACCTCTCAAACATAGATAAAGAAAATCTCTGTAAAAAAAAGAATTGAATAAATTAAGAAATAATTTTGTAATTTTTTTTCAGTGTATGAATAACATAACAACTACATAAACTAATAATTACATACAGAAATACACAAGATTTATTAAAACAATAAAAAACATCATTAGAAAAAAAATAAATAAAACATTGTTCTAAAATAAAAACACAAAGTACAAAGTACAAGTCGAGTCTCCCCAACCACAAAATAATTTATAATAAAAGAATGAAAAAATGTGGGGGGGAAATAATTTAGTAAGAAATACTTTAAAGGGAAAAATTGAATAAATCTCACCACTTAAGATATTATTAAATGTTATATAAAATTGATTTAATGTTTATTTTATTCAGTTTGCTGTCCAATTATATCTTCTCTAAAAATTCTAAGAAACACGTTTCAGCATTTTAAGTCCCAAATGTTTGGTTATTATAATTAGTGGTATTATGGAACATAGCTCTTCCTGCAAACATCAGAGTTCCCAGAAAGAAAACTTTATTTTGAAAATCCGTCGTCGTATTGTGCTCTTATTTTGTGGAGCTTGACACTCTGCTGAGTCAAACACGCTGGAATTAAAAAAAAAAAAAAACCCTGAACATAAATATGAAAACTAATATCTGACATGTTATTTTTTACAGTGGTGTGTGTTAGAGGAGTGAAAGCTGCAGAATAAAGTGAAAGTAAAGAAGGTAGAAGTGAAACATGTCGTCCATCTTATGTAAGAGAATAACAGAGAGACATCTGGCAGCTCTATTTATAACATCTGATCTCATCCAAATCCGCTTTTACTACCACTGATATGAAACATGGGCAGCAAACCCACAGAGAAACTGTGAACTCAGGCTTCAGAAACTAAAACACGACACAGACACACTGCAGGAAGTCAAAGAAAACTACAGTCTGAGATATTATTAACATTAAACACCATTAACTCACTGTGTCTGAATTAAATGTTTAATATAATGGATAAAGTCTGATATTAAAGTGACACAGCATCATAACTGATTGTATTTTATATATCAATAAGATTTTAAATAAAGTACAATGTAAAAGTGACTTTGCTGAGTGTGGTGATTAATGTGGAGGAGGATTAACATTTCTGACTGATGGTATTAAACTGAAGAGGTGACACACTTCCTGTTTTCATAGTCATATGCATATGGCAGGAAATGTGTCTGTGCTGCTGCTGAGACACTTTTATTTTATTCATTTATTTATTTATTTATATAGATAGACAGATCAACTAGAATTAAATAAAGTCTCAGTGTAGAGCCTCAAAAAAAACAAAAACCCCACAAGGATGATACTTTATGTACTGATAATAAACTGCAGTAAACTAATAATGATAATAACTTTATTTATAAAACACATTTTACAAAAAAGTGAAATGAAATGACCTAAAATCAAAGAAATATTTTGATAATTCTATTAAAGTGAGATAATATTTCATTGTCAGTTTTGGCTTTGAACTTAAATGTCTGCATTAAAACACCGAGGTTCAGATTATGAGTTTATTTTTCATCAGAATGATTCATTAGTAGATTTTTAGGAATTTTGCCCTGGTCTTTGGTGAATACAATAAACATATTAAGAGGAAATAAAATACTGAAGAGACTCTAAGTACAGTTTTCATGTGCGTGAACACAGTGTAGAGGCTTTTGTGTGTGTAGTTTGTATAATGAGGCTGCTGTACAGAAATTCTACTTTAAAAAGACAAATCTCTAATATAACTGCACTTTTGAAATTCGGGGTGGAAAATCAGAATTAGAAATACGTTATGTCTTTATGTTACAGTTGCTCAGATGTAAAGTGGAGAGAACTTAAGATGTAGAAAAAGAAAGTGTCAAGTGCGAAGTATGTAAGAAAAATAATAAATATAAATTAGTAGTAGTAGTTGTAGTCGTATTGGTATTATTATGCTACATTGTTAACACTAATATGTGAAATATTTAAGAATATATAATATGTGTGATCAGTATGTAGAGTGTGCAAAAAATATAAAGATATGTACCTTATGCTGTAATTTTGTTGGGGAAAAAAATTCAATGTCTTTTCAACAGTTTTTGTCTCTTATTTTATTTTATTTCATTTCATTTTTACCCATTTATTTTTAACCCATATTCACTTATAGAGCTGTAGTGATAAAATAATTTAAACTATAACACTAAAATAGTTTAAATAATTTAATTATTACATATATGAAATGACAGTAAAGTACACACGTCTGCAGTGAAGTGATAGTTGTTGTAGTTCATATTGTGGACTGTGGGTGGCAGCAGAACGAGTTCAGTCTAACCGGAAACGGTAGAAGAAGAAGTAGTGAAGCCCAAACAAAGTGGACATGTGGGTCTGTGGACGGACTACAGGTTAAATATAAAACTATAAACTGAAGCTGCTGTTTTTTTAAGTGAACATGGACGAAGAACAGACGGTAAATTATCCTGCGTGTTTCTGTCACTCTGATAAAGACGGTTAATGACGTCACAAACGTTAAGCTACTAAATAGCGCGAACTTAGTGTTAGCTGGTCGCTTCACACCAACGTCTATTCAGTTATTATCGAGTTCATGTTATTTCGCGCACAAGATGAATTTCAAATGACGTTTAACTCAATTTAACACATTCTTCATAATGTGTACGAACTTATTTAACTATCGGCGCATGTTTCACTGCGGACTAACGTAATTTGATTAAGAAACATTGCGGGTTGTCACCAAGCTCAGTGCTGTGGACTCCAGCTAAACTAATGTCCCTCAGCCACAAAAAGCTTTATACCGCATCTGCTGTAAAGTCGGACAAATGTTTTTAAGACATTTTAAGCCTATTTCATAATTTACATCAACAGGAAAAGATTATATTTGATATTTTGAATGAAGTTTGGTGAGATGTGTCACTAGTTTTCTAAAATTAAATTAAAGAAGTTTTGTTAAGAGGGCAGAAAATATCACCAGTCGTTTGTAGGTAAAAACACAGCTGTAGGGTTATTATAGTTAATGTGCAGTTCTGGATGTGTTTAACTGTAATATTAGTGTTTGTCAGGTTCAGGTGTCATCAACACACACTGATACATTTAAACACAACAACAAAATTTGATTGTTTCCTGTGTTCAGACCAAAATAATTCAACTCACTGATGTACCTGTGTGTGTGTCTGTGTCCAGGCTGGGTACAGGGAGCCTTGTGCTGTGTGTCATGCAGTGGATTGGGGAGTTTCTGATGAGGGACGTTTCTACTGCAGATCCTGTCACAACGTCATCGAGGTAAACAACAACAACAACAACAGCTGAGGGATATTCCAGAAAGCGGGTTTAGTGAAAACTCTGAGTATGTTAACCCTGAAATGAGGGAAACTCTGAGTCTGTGAACCTAACATGCTCGCTGGCAGGTTTTCTTCAATAAACCTTGAGTTTTTCTCTGTCTCCTCCCTCTTACACGCTGTTTCATTTCCTCATTCATTCAGTCCATGTAAAAGCTTGTATAGAAGCACATAAATTAACGGAGATTTACCGTCTGTCACAGTCTAAATCCTGCTGGATATTAGTTTGTTACTCAGGACTGTCTTAAGTTACTGAATTTATGCACATCAATCATTTCTTTGGACTAGGGCTGCAACGATTAATCGACTAATCGATGACTAATCGACTATTAAAATAATCGGTGACTGTTTTAGTAATCGACTAGTCGGTTTGAGTCATTTTTCATAGAAAAGTACTATAAAAGTACCCCAAAATACTCTTACTGCAGCTTCTTATGTTGAAATATTGGCAGCTTTACACACTCTCCCATGACGGTGAACTAAAACCCTTTGGCGTGAGTAAGAAACAAGACATTAGATGACATAATTTTGAGGTTTGGGAGAAACAGACCGACATTTTTCAACATTTTAACACATTTTTCGATAAAATGATTAGTCGACTAATCGAAGAAATAATCGACAGATTAGTCGGTAATGAAAATAATCGTTAGTTGCAGCCCTACTTTGGACATCAGTTTTTGTCTTTACATTCAAATATTACACAGCGAAAATTCACCCTCAGCTCAGAATCAAACCTCTGTCCTTTTTATATTTATTATTTTTTATAACACTGTGCACAAGGATCAGACTGTCAGTCTGTTCGAGCAGCTCCCACATGTTTACTGCACATAATGTGTAGGTCGAGTTATTTAAATTTTAAAAATTGGTATGAAGCTTTAGACACGTAGTATAAATGACTAATGATCTCTATCACTGATGTCACTGGTCGCACTGATGGAACATAATTCCTACAGCCTAATATTGGGGATTATATGTTAATATTTCTGAGTGAGCAATGGTGCAGCATTTCAGTGTCTTTAAATTTACTACATTCATAGCTGAAATAAAGTCACTGAATGTTGTTGCGTCAAGATACAAATAGATGTCCAACATCTACTGTATTTTAACCTC